GGCCCGGCCGGCGGAGCCCGGGTGGTGGCCGCGTTGGAGGCGCCTGGGGCGGTTTAGCTGAGGAGTCGCGCTGAGGAATAGCGTCCAGCTTCTCCCAGGTACTTTGCAATGATATACAGCGTGGACTTGGACTGTTTTGACACAAACTTCATTTTATTTAGGGGTTTTTTGCACACGTTTTTATTGTTGGGTGTGATCTGCCAGCATAAAGTATTTCTAAGAAATGTGATAAAACTCTTTTATAGAAGCATTAGCACTCAACAACTCCATTAGAAAACAAACTTACACATCAACTTGGCTTAAATTTTTATTGCATTCACTGCCTCGAAGAAGCAGGTGCTTAGGAAAATCAAAGGAACTGGTCACACATTACCACTTTGCATTTGTCCATCTTGTAACGTTGACTTGTTAAAGCAATTGCTTGCGCCTGCTCTATAATGAGATATACATGTACCAGAGCTTTTTACTGGGCTTTATTCACTTCTTAAAGGGAAGTTCTTGTTCTGCTGTTGATTCTCATGTGTCCCAAGCCCCCAGTAACTGGGTTTTGATCTACCGATGCAGAAGACCTTTACTGGAACCAGCCCTGCTCCTTTTAAAGGTTTTTTTTGTATGCTCCTGTGGTGCTTTTTTAAAATTTAAAATAAAATCGTGCATGTAGTTCCTCATTCCTCACACTTATGCACTCAAGTTCCCCTTCCAGCTCAATTATAATGAGCAGGTACAAGTAAAAATGGATTTTTCTTTTTCCCTCCCAAATTCTGGTTAATTGTGGGGGGGGGGGGGGGAGGGGGGCAGCAGCCCAGCCCTCCAGTAGTATAAAGACTGTTAAATTTGACCTGCTTGTGCAAGTACCATCTGGGAATAAGGGAGTGAGTCATGCCATTAACAAAGACGATGTCTCCATGTGAGATGATATCCCAGGCAACGTCTCCGTTCTGCATGTATCAGTTCATGCTTATAGTGGCGTTTTTGTCGCTGCCCAGCAGGTAGTAAGTTGGCACCTAAAAAGTCCTATTCACTTTGAAGCCGTGCAAGAAGGAAATGCCATTTACTGAGTTTGGTGCGGCTCCAGGACCCCCATCCTGCTCGCTTGCCCAGAGCAAAACTATTCAGCTCCCTCCAAGGGCATCACGTGCCCTTTCCTTCCCTCTTTTTGTCATACTTATGTGACACCCCCATTCACAAGGCCATGTAATCCTGCATGCAGCGGTTCTTGCTGCACCCTTCTGAGCTTCAGATGTTCCAGAACTTGCCCTGGGCAAACCAGACGCTGAGGCGTGGAGCGACTTGTCCATCCTCGTGCAGGAGATCTGCTTCCACTCTCTCGCTGTGTTGATGTAAATTGGTGGCCTCATAAAGCAGAGTCGCATACAGAAGTATTTAAAGTCATTGAAACTATTTGCACTAATAAGAGCACTTGGACTAAGCCGTATGGTAACAAGCACGTCCCCATATGAATTCCCCTGTTGCATTTAAAGACAGGAAGCTTTTCAAGGAAGTTAAATTTTAAACGTTACCAATTGTTTGATACAGGAATGGGAGAGAGAGACTTCCCAGCTGCCTTCATAGCTCACAGGAGAAATGTGGCCATATGGCAACTTGGATCTTTGCTTCTTTTACATACATATACAATTTTTTCATAGTATTTGCAGAGGAAAAAAAAGAGCAAACCTTTAGCTTATGCAGCACCCCTCACCCACATCTCCGCAGACTTTACTGTTGCAGTCTTGGCTTATGTTTGTTGTGTTATCAGAAGAAAGATGTTCTTGTCCCTAGCTAAAGGAGCAAAAGACCATGCATAAATAAATTTTCAGTGATAAAATTTTGCAATATTTAATAGAAGATTATTTTTTTTAAAGTTCCAGGCAAACAGTAATTCCATTTGATATTTTTTATGCATTTTAATGTTCTGTAGTTGGATGTGTAATATCACCATACATTTAGATATGTATATTACAGAAAAATAGCCACATGTATTTATAAAATTACTTACTCCCTCTGCTTTTGACTGGCCTTTCTGCAAATTGAGGCACTTCTGAAGCAGTGATCTATGGAAGCCCAATGCACTATACAAAAAAAGTTCCAGGCAAACAGTAATTCCATTTGATATTTTTTATGCATTTTAATGTTCTGTAGTTGGATGTGTAATATCACCATACATTTAGAATATCACCATACATTTAGCCCAATGCACTATACAAAGAAGGTGAATGAAGACATTTTGGTGAAAGATGTTGAAATTTAATAAGCGTTGGATGATTTTGCACATCCTTAACTTTATCTGCCTGTTAGGGAACTCTATTGGCAATACCTATCTCTACTTTCAGAGCTCTTCGTGTCTTAGCCCCGCTGGTAGGTCTGTCCTGGGTAGAGCACAGGAATCGGGCTGCAGTAGCCCAGCAAAAGTGAACGTCGCTGCAGAGACGCTCGCTGCCCTCCTGCGCTCTGCGGCCATGTTAGTCCAAGACTATTTCTGGCACCAGCCTCGTGCCTGTTCTTGGACTCCTGCACTTAATGAGCATTGCTCTTGCTGTAGTGTGGTAGATCCTGCAGTTTTGAGAGGAAAACATGGCTCTCTGTGATAAAAGCCGTGTCTAATTCTGGTGCCTCCTGCCAGACTGGGAGCGGCTGTGACTCCTGAGGAGCCCCCCCTTTCCTCTTCCTCAGCAATGATGTTGGGAAAGATCGCCCGTGTTTCGGGGCCCGCAGATGCTAGGTGCAAAAGCCCTGCTTTTATGACAAATTAAGCTAGAAGAGCTGAGTGTGAACCACTCCTGTATACTCAGAGCTGAGCTAAGGGGCTCTGCTGTCTTTTCTGGGGGCTCATCTTCAGGCTTATCTTCAAGCAGAAGAAGAGGGGAGCATTTAATGGCACAAGCATGTGGGCCCATGACTTCAGGAGCACGTTAACTCTAGCCATGACTTAAAAGCCTGCTTGTTGGCGTCATTATTAACCTCCCTCTGCGCATATGGATTGCTAAGCTGACAGCACGTTATATGGTCTCTGGTGAGGCCCCTGTGTATTAGGGAGCTTCATCCCTCAAATTTTAAATGTGAAGAAACATTGGTATGAACGATCAAAGTAAACTACTTGCAGCTACCTCAGAAGTCTGCTGCCAGACTAAGGCCAGAACTTGGATTTTATGCTTTGGGATAAGCTGCCACTGCGAGGGGACAAGGCTTTTTCAGGTGGAGGAAGGGATTTCAGGCCATGTGTTGTCCCATTGCCCTCCAGATTAGCCAAGTGCTAGCCTGGTGCAGCACTGACGCCAGGAGCTGCCCAGCTTGGGGAGCACATGCTGGAAGGGAGCTCTCTGGCATGACACATGGCTGTGCCACCTGAAGCTCTGCTGGTTGAGGAGGAGGAAGCCTGGGCAGAGCCTTGCCATGAGGAGCCCTCAGCCTTGGGTGCTGCCTACCATGGAGCGAGGAATAGCTTGGAGAATGGTATATTTACGCAGGCTTTGCGAGTCAAGAAGGTGCTCAGGGTTGCGGACAGGCATTTCTTTGCAACTATTTTAAACCAAAATAACAGCTGTATTTTAAGTAAGACGCAAATATCTCCAGAGCCTACCAGCACCAGCATGCTCCTCTGGACTCTGCTCAGACCAAGCAATTTAGCACTGCTGAACAGACCTGGGGCAGAGCCTGGAGGTGGCCCCAGCCCAACTGCCGGAGACACCCTCACGCTAGTGCCCAGCATGGCTATTCCCCAGATGATTCATCAGGCTCAGCCTGCAAAGTGCAAAAGAAGTCACTCTTGGTTTCCCCTTCCTGCCGGGGCAGCCCTGGGCTGCGGCATGCCTGGCATTGCATCTGGAGGAGCCACCCGGAGTCCCGGGCGGCATCGCGGATAGCAACTGAAGGCACGGGAGAGGATGAGCGATGGTGTGGGGCTGCTGAGAAGGTCACTTGTGTCTGTTTTATGGCTGAAAGTGGGTGTAGATGTCTTCCAGAGGGTTTTGGGATGACTCCAGCTTTTAGGAAGGATTCATAGGCTCTGCTCTAACTCTTAAACACTTTGAATCATGTTGATTAAATCCAGCGAGTTTTGTGTGGATTTAGAGTTCTTATTTCCCCCAGAACAAACACCCCCAGATGCATCCGTAAATCTCCGGGAAGGCTGGTGGGTCTCCAAGGCCCATTCAGAAGATATACGGCTGGGGAATCGGCCAGTGTATGCTGTTTACTTCTAGCTCCAAACAGCCATCTCAGAAAGAGGGGATATTTCTAGTGTAATGTGGAAAATTACTTAAGATCCAGATACAGCTAGTTGGCAGGGAAATGTCATTCACGCGGGTGAGGCGCCGGGCAGCCAGCGGGCCATGAGATCTGTCGGGCATGGGGAGCACCTGTGCCCCAGGCTCAGGGTGTCCCGCATCAGGAATCGCGCCCCTGCCGCGCTCCTCGGGGCCACGTCCCATCCTTGAGCGCCAGGTTTGGGGTCAGAGGCAGTTTCCAGGGTGTTCGATAGTGCAGAGATCAGCACCCAGCAATCTCGGGTAACGTAGAGTTAACTCATGGCAAAAATGCATCGAGTTCCACCCATTCCTTAGCTTTGTCCTTTATTAGCCCTTCACGAGAAAAAGCCTTTGAGAGATGTCTTAAATCTCACAGAATCTTAAATCTGATTTGAACGAGCATAGTTGTTCCTCTTGTACTTTCTGCCTTTCTCTATACATGGAGAAGTTTGGCAAAAACTTTGCTTCTTAAGAGCTCAGTTGCTCTTCTGGTAAGTCATTGTGGGGGGATGCCTTGAAGAGCACCGGGGGACCCTAGTAGAAGAGACTCATTTAACAACAGCAGGGAAAAAAGATCCTGTGGATGTTCCCTCAGCACATGACCGTGAGGCTGAGGATAACACAACTTGGGAGAGGGGAGGACTGGGAGAGTTGCCTCATCCTGCATCTGGCTACGCTCAACAGACTTCCAAAGCCAAAACACACCCTCAGCATTTCCACTGCATCCCACTGGCTGGGACCCCACTGCCTGGGACCTCACTGCCTCAGGCTGCTCTGCTCGGAAAGTCTGCAACTTCATCTCTGCTTTTCTGAAATCCTTTGCTTTTCACCATGGGCCACAACTGCTGCTACCACCAACTGTTGCGTTGCAGTCAGCCATTGTCCACTGCGAGCCGCCTGGAGCATGGCTGCACTGAGCTGGCGGAGCCTCAGCTCATGCTATGTGTAGCTGCACCTGCCGCCCAGCCTCACCTCCAACCTCTTCACCCTGTTGCACCCAGGGGATGAACCCGTTTGAAGCATCAGTTTGACACGGGCTGGCGGGTGGACAAATGACTGGGGGTTTCCTGCTCACGCTCCGAGTTATATTCTTTCCTATGTTCTGCTGCAGTGCTTCCTCATAGGCTCGTTAATGGTATGTGTGTGTTAGTGAGGCAAAGTACTCCTAATTGCAACATGCACCATTAGCCATTAATAGCCTGGCAGTTAAAGAAAATCTTGAGTGACAAGTGGGGCCCCTCCACACAGTCACGTTCCCTCCCTGTGGCTGATTGCCACCACTGCCAGGGCCATGATCAAAGTGGGGATGTGAGAACGTTTAGCTGGATCTGAAGCATGCGTTTGCCATGGATAATTGCAGGATATTAATGAACAGGGCCCTTTAGCTGAGCATCTTTGATTGCTCTGATGGAAAGGGCTCAGCAGAAGGAGAGCCGGAGTTACCAAGACAGTTTTGCACCCTGCAATTGAACCGCACCTTGGAGACGGTGGCAGCTTCGGCAAGCTGGAGAAACAGCCTGGGGGGGCAATCGCTGGGGAGTGTTTTGGGGCTCTCCCGTTTGCCCGGGGCAGCTGCCTCTGCCCACGTCTCCCTGGCTCCCAGGCGGTGCTTTGCCTGCTAAAACTGCTCCACAGGCAAGGGTGCTGGTTCCCAGCCCGTTCTCCCCTTTCCTCCCTGCAAGGCCACAGCAGGCAGGCTGGCTGGCTGGCTGCTCCCCTCG